CTCTTCCCCTTCTCCCTCACTCTGGCCTTGTCATTCCTGGAACAAGTCAGGCCAGCTCCCTCCACGGAGGGCTTCCTACTCGCCCTTCTCTCTGCCTGGGACACTGTTCCCACAGACATGCACAGGGCCCACTCCCTCAACCTCCTGCAAGGCTTTCCCCACTCTTGTCCTCAGGGGGCCGTCCCTGGCCATCCCAGCTCAGAGGACAACCCCTTCCAACGCTCCTACAGCATCCAGGACCCCTGATGCGCCAGATTCCTTGCCTCTGTGTTTCCTGGCTGCTTCTCTCCCTGGAAGAAAGGCTCCCTAACAGCTCCACCGAGGTCTGTCTGGGTCACATCGGGAAGCGCACAAGAACCGAGCCTCTGGCAACTGAGAAGGCGTTCAATAAAGAATGTGCAGTGACTGCTGCAGTCATCTGAGGGAAGATGAGAGCTCGTGAGGCAAGGCGGGTGGGGGAAAGAGCATCTTGGGCAGAGGGAGCAGCCGAGCCGCCCCAAGGCCGGCGGGCACAGGGCACATTGGAAGGAATGACCGGATCGAGTACAGCAGGGAAGGCGAGCGGGAAGCAAGACTGGAGAAGAAGGACGGAGCAGCCGTGCACACACAGAAGGAACGTTTCGGTCTATCTCGAACGGCAACAAGAAGCCAGGAAACTAGGCAGTGACATGAACGAATGGGCCTTCCACAAACCTCTGGCTTCAGGGGGAGATAGGGATTTGGAGGCGGTAGAAGCGCCTGGAAGCTCAGTAAGCAGACTAGAACCATGGCGCAGACCACAAATGACCTTAACTCGGAATGAGAGGGCAAAAGCAGAGGTGGAGAAAAGGAGGTAGATTCCAGAGATATTTAGCAGATAAAATCACAGGTCTGGGAGAATGATCACACAAGGGGGTAAGGAAGTAAAAGCAGAGTTCCAAGAGGACTCCTCCCTTTTGCACGTGGGACCTGAAGGACACAGTGGCCCGATTCACGGAGTTGGGGTGGGGTGGGGGGGGGTGGCGAGGAGGAGAATACAGGAAGGGGATCTTGAGAAGTTTTGGAAAGAATGGATTTGCCATAATTCGGAGACATTGAAATACAGATTTCCAGTTGGCAGCGGGAGACCCAGGGAACCGTGAGAGGATCAGGAAAAGCAAAGTGAGTCGCCACACAGTACAGATTCTCACCTTGTGGCTGATGGGGAATCAAAGGGTTTCGAGGAACGCAGTAACAGGAGAAGATGTGGGATTCCAAGAAGATCACCCTAGCCAGAGCAGGAGCACGTGGATGGGAGAGGGAGCTGGATGAGAAGCAGGCAGAACAAGAGGGACCTGCTGCAACAGAGCAGGTAGGAGAAGGGACCGGAGCCAGGGCTGTGGCCACAGGGAAGGAAAGGGGAACAGACCTGCTCTTTGTCAGCAGTGCATCTCCCACGGGGCTCCTGGGGACCGTCCGAAAACCCGGAGCACGTCAGCTCCCCCACTTGACCCCTTGGTCCTCGCACGAGTCATTCTCTGACAACCTCCCCAGAATTCTCTCTTGCTCCCCGCTCCCTGGCCCAATGTCAGGTGCCGATGACACAGCCCTGGGCTTCCACGGCCAGGCTAGTTTCTTCTGCCCTGCAAACACCTATTTGTCTTTTGAAGGCTTCCCCCCTCCACTGGCAAAGAAGCAAGAGCAGTGCTGACATCGAGGAGGCGGCCTGGCACCATGAGCCGGGCTGCACGGCTGGTCGCCGCGGGCCTGGCGCTCCAGGAGACGCCACGTGCTTCTCCGGTTGCACGCAAATGACCTCGCAGAACAGCAGCTTGAGGTGCCGTGGCCCCGGTGATGAAGGGACACCAAAGAGGACCCCTTGCTCTTTTGTCCAAACAGACAAAAACCAGCTTGTCGTGCCCACCCCCAAATGCCAATCCTCCTCTCTCCCGCCTGATACCAGCGAGTGTCTTCCTTGTGAATGACACCGTCCGTCACGCTCTTCACACCTCCTTCTAGAAAACACTGATGGAGCTACCCGATCCCAGAACTGTCTCGCCTCGCCTCGCCTCAGCACCCAGACCAGAGCACACCCCTGCTTCCTTGAACACTCCCAAAAACATCCGCCCAAAGCCCAAATCCTGTAAGTTCTTTCTAACACCCTCTTTCTTACGGATCAGCCCCACAGTCCCCATGACGTGGGTTCCCCCTCAGGATGAGTAACGAAGCCACTGTGTTTAACGACAGCTGTGCTTCCAGTGGCCTTTGTGGAGGATGCTGACCACCGTCACGGGAGGAAGGGATGGTTCCCTTTCCTGGAGGGAATCCTAGGTGTCCTGGGAGGCTAACTGGCTTTCTTAGTGCGATTTTAGGGGCTTTATGGCTGTAACCTAGGGCAGCAGGAACCAGCCTAACCCACAGCTAGGACATAGCTGGAACCAAATAATATTCAGAATGGAGGGAAATCAAGGGGCGCCTCGGTGGCCCAGTTGGTTCAGCGTCCGACTCCTGATTTCACATCAGGTCATGATCTGAGGGTGCCGAGACTGAGCTCCAAGTTGGGTTCCACACTCAGTGTGGATTCTGCTGGAGATTCTTTCCCCCTCCCTTTCCCTCCTCTTCTGGCCCCACGCCAGGGGCATGCACTCTCTCTCTCTCTCTCTCTAAGATAAAGAAGTAAATAAAATCTGTATTTAAATAAATAAATAATGGAGGGAAAGCAAAAGAAGTAAGAATTATTTAGGGAAGGCTTCACTCTGTGTCAGACCCGGTGCTAACTGCCTTGGATCTATTGCTCATTTAATCCTTACATCCCAAAGGTGGGCTACCATTTTTATCCCCATTCCAAACACAGGACTGAGGCACAAAGTGATCTGCCCACGATTCACGCAAGGAATCTCTACGTTATTAATCACATGACTTTCTGACAAAGTTTAAGGGTTTAACACACTACAGTGAAGATGCACATCACGGTATCACAGAACTTGGAAGGACAGAGCCCTGCAAAATGTCCTCAAACGTTAACTTATGGATTCTCCCAATCTTCTTGCATGTTGTTCAGATAAAGGAAAGCCCGGTGCAAAAAAGGCTTTCATGAAATGCAACCAGATGACAAATATACGTGGTCTTTAGAGCCCCGGGCCCATCCCAGAAGACTCTGACTCAGTGAGTGTAGAGGAGGACGTGAACATCTGTGTTTTCTTTAAATAGCCCCACAGGCTCTGCTGATGTGCACTCTGGGCTGGGTACCACTGTACTCTCTGCAATTCCAAACCCAAACTTGCCCTACAATGTTTAGATGGCTGCAGACACAGGGGGGCATCGAAAACTGAGGCAAAGAAGAACAGAGAAATTACAAAAACTATCCCCTAGAGAGTCAAGAAAAGGAAAGCTCTAGTTATATTACTTCTCTGTCCTTTGGCTGTGTCTGAATTACTCTACAGTTAACTTACTTTGTTTTAAGTAGGCAAGTTTGCTAAAACGTTTACCAACAAATACTAAATAATCAAGACTACCAATACATTTTAAATAAAATTATACTATGCTACTGAAAAGTATTTTCTGATTATTTCAATGGCACTTCAGAGTCTCTTAGCAAGTAGCAGTCGATATGCGAACATTATTTCTAATTCAACAGTTCTACACATGTGGTCAACAGCACCTGAACACTGGAGAAGAAATGAAGTTGGCTGGAAGGCTTTTAGCTTCCCAAATTTCACCACACACTACCGTCAAGTCTTCAATACCAATGTATGTATTTACCTCTTTATTTAATCAACCACCACTAACACCCACTACATGTCAGACAGGGCTCTACGTGTTTCATTAACGTTAAATATCATTTATCTTTACAATCATCTAAGAAGTGGGATTATCATCATCTCCATTTCTCACATCAGGAAACTGAGACCCAGAATGGTTTAGGAACACAGCTCATAAGAGGCAGAGCTCCGATCAGCTTGGCTCTGGACTCCATGTCTTAAATCACTATGTTTAGTCTCCAGGAACCTACAAAAACTGCAAGTCTTAACCCCGAACCTTGGCTTGCCCACCCTACAGTCCCTACAGTCCCTACGTGGCCCCGGCTTCAAGGGCATTCCCTCAATTCCTTTCACAGTTCACACTCCTTCCCTGCTCTAAGTGAACACCCTCCCACATCCCCGTTTTTTTCTTAGCCTTCTGTTCTCAGCTTAAACATTACTGCCTAAAAGACAAACTCGAATGCACCCCGTAGTTCTCAGCACTCGAAGCAAAACGGTAATTATGTATTTCATGGGCAATTATTTGCTTCCGGTCTTTTCCAACCAGGTGGTGATAGGTTAGACGCCGTATCTGTCCTATTTATCCTGGGTTCCCAATCGCTGAATACCCACCCCCCCCACCCCCCCAAAGAGAAGGGCCTACCACGAAGTACACTCTCAACACTTTCTGTTGAACGAACGAACGAACGAACGAACTACACCCCAGCCTGGGCTTTCCGACACCTATCTGTGCTCACAACACGGCCCCCACTGCACCCCTAGAACGCAGCCTCCTGCGGCAGACACGCAAGAGCTCTGCAAAGTCCTGGCTCTGCGCACCACTACTACGTGCTCCTGGGCAGACCATCCCCCCCGCCCCGCCCCAACACACCTTGACTGACCTGATCTCAGGTGCACAACGGGCACCCTGACGATCCCCAACGGAATGTGACCTATGCAAGAGGAAGAACCTGCACTCCTCCTCCCCTCTCAACGCTAGACTTCCTTGCTTCTCGTCGGGCTTCCATAAGGACTCGAGCCCCAAGGAGGCCAAGACCCCGCCGGCCTGCTGCAGGCCGCATTCCCAGTCACGCTCCCCCCAGGCCTGGCGCACAGCACAAGGGAGGTCATTCTCCGCTCCAGGAATGAAGCCCCGCGCCGGGCACTTCACACGTGCGAAACGAGGGTCGCACGAGGTGACGGCGCCCTTTTGGCGAACGAGCGTGTTCCGGAGACACAGGCCCGCCCCCCACCCAGGCCCCAGGCCCCCGGGGACGCTGGGTCCCCGCGCCCGGCAGGCACCTCTGCACGGAGAAGCATCTTCGCAAGGGCCGCGCACTCCCTCGTCGTCTGGGTCTGTCGAGGAGGACGAACAGGAGCTGAAAGAGGCCGTCCTCGGACGAGCGCCCATGGCCGTGGAGGTTCCGGGGTGCTGTCCCCACCGAGAACAACGAAACCGGGTCCCCGGGCGCTGGGGGGACGAGCCAGCCTCGGAGAGGGAAGGAGGGCTCGCTTCCGCCGCGCTCAGCTGCCGGGGCTCAGACCCGCCGCTCACGTCAACCGCCCAACAACCTTCCCGCTCATTGGCGCTTCTGCCCAGACGCTGATTGGACAGCTTCCCGCCCGCTCGGCCCGCGGACGCGCCCCTTGGGTGCCTCCTCTGGCCCCGCCCACAGAGCCCTGGGCACCGTCTACCCCTCCTTTCCCGTCACCACCTGGCGGGACCGCCGTCAAAGCCCCGTCTTCCTTCGCTCCTGGTGCTGTTTTCTGAGTCTGGCGTCTGTGTGTTCATCACAAGCTTGAAATGGCTGTAGTCTGTCGCAAGGCCAGCTTTCCCCCCACTGAAGTGCTTTGGCTCCCTTTTCAAAACTCAGTTGAGCGTATTTGTGGGGACTCTTTCTGGGTTCTTTGTTCTGTTCTATTGATCTGTGTCTGTCCTTCTGCAGATACCACACAATCGTCCTTAGTAAAACTATCGCAGAAGTTCTGAAACTGGGTAGACTGCATGTTCCCACTTTATTATTATTTTCAAAATTGTTTCTGAAACTACTCTTCATTCCTCTGTCTATCCACATACACTTTAGAATCATCTTGTCTATCAATCTACAAAAGAAAACAAACCCTGACTGGGTTTTGACAGGAATTGCATTAAATCGATCTATCAATCTGGGCAGAATGAACATCTTCACTATGCTTAGGCTTCCAATTCACAAACATGGTATATCTCTGCATTTATTTATATCTCCGATTTCCTCTATCAGTGCTAACGGCTGTGGGCATGCGAGTGCTGGACATGCTTTGTTCGATTGATCCCTAAGTATAGTTTTACTAGTAATTGTGAACGTATGTTTGATAGTGGAGCCCACATGTTCGTTGCTAGCATACAGCAATACAACTTTTACATGTTTCTTCTGTATACTGTTTCACTGTGAAATGCCATTAGTAGTTGTAAGAAGGCTGACATTTTCATAACCTCTTGGGGCATAAGGCCTGAAATGAAGATTCCATATTAAGGGCTGTCTTCACACCAGGGACAATCAAGGAGGGACGGAAACAGCCTAATGCAAGTTCTCCTCTCCCTCCTCCCTCACACGTAAGGTCTCCTAAGCAAAAACCCTTCTCATCACAGGGACCAGACATAGTGCCTGTTGATTTGGGGGAGCAGCGTTCAGTTCCCTAGAAGCCCACTGAATTCTTCAAGCAAGCCACTCATACCCTCCCAAGGGAACCAGGACTTGCCCCACCTTCTTGTTAGGACAAAGTCTTGCCTTCCAAGCCCCTGCTTGTTCCCTCTGTTCCCAAGTGCAATTCCTGTGCAGCCCTGCACAGTGTGTGGTATCCTCCTCCCTTGAACTGTGAGAATATGTGACTAGTCAACTGCTGCCAGTCACATCTGTCAGGTGTCAAGGGATCCCTACAAGCCTAGAGCAGGAATCTCTCTCTCGTCAGGGAACTGAGGAGAAGCTGAATAAAAGCAAGTGACATCACAAACAGGGTGGCCCCACCTTAACTGAGGACACGGGGTCAGCTTGACGTGCTCCTTGGCTTCCTAACTGGCTTCAGAGGGGACAATCACGATCTGGGAGGGAACTGGCAACTGCGGGCCAGCTTGTGTGTTAGCTCGTGTTCTGTTAGCTCCAAAGGAGGTCGCCATCCGTTTCCAAACCAATGTCCCATCCTTGCCAACAAGTTGAGTACAGATGCGACTTGACTGTACCTAGGAGGGAGGTGCCATCAGTGTGACCTCCATCTGGCCTGTATCGGTCTCCAAGGCTCCCCGCTGAGGTCGGCAACCCCACGACCTGCTGACTGGGGTGCTTGAGTTCCACCGACTGGGTGTTGGGCCAGTGCTTGGGGCAGACAGACAGATCCGGGTGGGGAGAGCGCACCCCACGCACCGTCCTGGGGATGACCCTCTGTGTTGTGGGTGGAAAGGAAGGGGGCCACGACCCCAGGGAGATGTAAGAATGGCTCCCTGGCTGCCTCCTGAGTCACTGTGGGTCAGGCAACGCGAGTGGCCTTGCCCATCTCCCCAGCTGCCGCTCCTCTCCCCGTTACCGTGTGTCCCCCGGAGCCCTCAGGGTTTGGAGGCGCACATCCATGGCAGCCCAGGGCCCAGGAGCTGATGAGAAACACAAAAGTGGAGGGTCGGCCGTTTGGTGCTCCACCTCTCTCCCAGTGCAAAACCCCTCCTCCACACACTTGCTTTCTCTTAGTGTTGTTGCTTCCCAGCGCGTCCAGGGACTCATCTCTGGATCCAGGGCCTTGAGGCTCCCACTCTGGCCATGGACAAAATGACCTTCCTGGCTGTGGACTCCAACACTGGGGAGATGGACTGGCATGCCCGCAGGAAGAGGACAGTCATCTGTGGGGCCGACCCACCCAGCTCCCTTTCCCCATAAACACCCAGAACATGTGCACCACGTCTGAATAGCTGGAGACAGAAACAAAAACCCATGACTTTATGGGGCTAGAAATGAAATAGTCTCCTGAGGGAATCGGTAGAGTGGGAAAAGGGGGGAGGGGAAGCCGTCCACACTGAGAGAAGGTAGGGCTGTAGCAGAAGATGCTTTGGCTTTATCAACGTCTGCGCTGTGGGTCCTGTGCTCTTTCACTTACCACCCCACTGCCTAAACCTGTTTGGCACAAGATCGCCATCCTCAGGGTCGTGGGGGAAACATCCGTGGCACCCCTGTGGCACAGTGAGGGTATCAATTCACACCCTGACTTACGCCAGGACACCTGAAACCATACGACCATTGCCACGACAGAGGCTCCAACCCTAATGATGCTGATTGGAGACTCTCTGGAAGAAAAAACGGAGAAAGATGAACAGGGTAAAAAGACACTCCCTAACCCAAGCATATATCCAGGACCAAACAAACCCAAGAAAAGGAGGAATGGAAGAAAGAAAACTGGATACAGGAAGAGGAACCCCCCCAAATTAATTCGACATAGGTTCACAATTTGACCCAACTGAAAATCCAAAATTCACAGGGGCGCCTGGGTGGTTCGGATGCTTAGGCGTCCGACTTCGGCTCCAGCCGTGATCCCGGGGACCTGGGATTGAGCCCCATGAGAGGCTCCCTGCTTGGAGGGGAGTCAGTCGGCTTCTCCCTCTGCCTCTGCCTGCAGCTCCCCCTGGTTCCTGCTCTTTCACACCTGCTTGCTGTCTCTCTCTCAAATGAATGAATAAACCGTAAAAAAAAAAAAAAAAAAAAAAATCCAAATTTACTAAGATAACTTATATGGCAAAAGATAAAAGGAGGTCAACTGGCTTTTGGCCCTCTAAAACATAGGTTCTGAATTAACTTTAATGTCTGCTAAGATGTACCAGTTGGGTAACCTTCATGGACTCAATACCAGGGCTCCAATTATGGTTGTACCTAGTAAAATAACCGTATTTTCTAGCTTCTGTATTTAATGCTTTGACATCTCAGACTTGCTGACTTTGGAGGGACTGTCCCTGGCAGGCGTAGTTAATTCTTAGAAAAAGTCCACAACTGGCCTGGGAGCATACCTTTCACATCCAAGCCAACCGGTACAGAACCCTTACCCCCAACCACCTCCTCTTAAGCAGCTCTGGGCCACTATGGCCTCCCTGATCACCACAAGGGCGGGGACAGACTACTGCAGGCACCACTATGGCCTGGAGCCCCCTGAAATTACTCAAACTAGCCAGTCTTAAATGCGCTTATCCTGCCTCACCTGTCCCTTCCCATGGAAACCACAATAAAGGGTCTTGCCCACATTTTCCCTTCACTCCCTCTGTCTCCTGACCAATCCTGGTGCTTCCGCAGGTGGCCCTCCATCGCTCTCAGAACCTCCTTTCTTGGGGTCTGTAAATCTACAAAACTTCTTCCATTGTGACAGTTACTTCTATATCTTCCTAACTTATCATACCTGATTAAAATAAATCCTGGTCCCCTTAAAACCTCTGAGACACCTAGGGCCACCTGGGTCGCTCAGTGGGCTACGCTTTCTGCTCAGGTCATGATCTCAGGGTCATAGGATCCAGCTCCATGTTAGGCTCCGTGCTAAGGGTGGAGTCAGCTTGGGAATCGCTCACTCGGCCCTTCCCTCCGCCCGCCCCACCCCCCCAACTGGGCTCGGGCACTAGGTATCTCTCTCTTTAAAATAAAGAAATAAAATCTTTAGAAAAACCACAAGGGAGCCCAACAAATTTAAGGATGGGGAATATTTTGCTAATATAGATTTGGCCAGTATGTTCTGTTCCATGCGTATTTCAACATCCTCTCGGTCAAATGTGCCTTGACTTTGAAGGGGACACATTTTACCTTGTTAAGCACAGGGCACCCAAACCTCTCTGCTATCACAGGCATCTTTGTGGGCAGGATCTTACTGCACCCGTCCTTCTCCAGGGACATAGGTATGACATCACATTTACGACTACCTACTGTGAGGACATTTGTTTGACACACTTGTTAAGGACATACAGGTGCAGGGGCGACTGAGTGGCTCAGTCCATTACGCGTCTGCCTTCGGCTCAGGTCATGAACCCCGGGTCCTGGGAACAAGCCCCGCATCAGGCTCCCTGCTCACTGGGAAGCCTGCTTCTCCCTCTCCCTCTGCCCCTACCAGCCCCTTGTGCTCTCACTCTCGTGCTCTTTCAAGTAACCAAATAAAATCCTTACAAACAAGGAAGGACATACAAGTCCAAAGTCTGTCAGTATTTTTTTTTTTTTTTTTTTTTTTGGTTCTAGAGGCAACATATTCCTTGTTGATAAATTTTACATAAGCCCATTTAGGCTGCTACTCGTCAGTGAGCCCACGCTGGGTGGGGCTCCCCTCAACAAAAGGCTCTAGGAACTGTCCAAAACAACTGTGAGGGGGCGACTGGCTGGCTCAGTTGGTGAAGCGTCGGCCTTTGGCTCAGGTCATGATCTCAGGGTCCTGAGATCCAGCCTGGCAGGGGACTCCCTGTTCAGTGGGGAGCCTGCTTCTTCTCCCACTCCCTTTGACCTCCTCCTCCAGCTCCAACTGTCTCTCAAATACATAAATAAAATCTTAAAAAAAAAAAAAAAAATCACCCGTTAGTGCCCTAAGTAAAAAGGCTTTAGCAACTACCTCTCCAGCTTCCTGGAGTCACTGGAATCGTTCCATGGACTCCCAATGCAAGAAATGGCCCTCCTTGGCCCTGGGTTATAGACCATGAAAGCAGCAATTGCTGACCATGCACTGGGCTCTCCTGGAAACGGAGTCTCTCACAGACTCTGAGCCTTCATATCCCGCTGTCTGCTCTTCCTCGGGTCATGATACCCCCACCAGCTTAATGTCGATGCCCAGGCCTTCTTGCTACAGGCTGAAGCCAAAGTCTGCATATCCAACCTGCAGGTGGGGGTGGCTGCTTCTATCCACAGTCCATTGCCAGATTCCATGCTGCTGGAGGACGTCAGCCTTTCCTTCTACCCATTGGCTACCTAAGGATTCCCTTGGGATCAACTGAGTGACCATCAATGACCGTTGATACATTTTGGTTTTGAAGACCAACTCCCCCTCTTGTTCACGTGACAATTCCACTTCCTAGAGAAGCACCTGTCCTACTCCTTAAAAGTCTCAGTCCCAGGTTGAAATTCATGTCTAGATATCAGAGTCCACTGTGATGGAAAGCCTGAGATTAAGATTCAATAGGAAGTGTTGTCTTAGTATCAGGGAACATCAGAGGGCCTCCAATGGCCTCGGCCTCACTCAAAGTTCCCTTCCCCCTCTGCTCCCACAGATCAGGTCTCCTGGCCAAACGACCTTCTTTATCCCAGGGACCAGGCACAGTTTCTCCCCAAGGAGTAAGGTCCATTTCCCTGACAGCGTGTGCAATTATCCAGCAAGCCAGTCATGCCCTCCTGCAGGAAGTAGGGCTCACCGTCACTCTCTTGTTACTACAAGGTCTGCCCCCGCCCCAAAGCCCTTCTTCATTCTGCTCCCAGGTAAAACCCCCTTGTGGCCCTGCATGGTGTGGGCCACGAGTAGACATGGGTAATAAATTAGTGTCGAGCTCATCTGTTCAGCATCCGGACATCCCATAACTTTAGGGTGGGAATCACTCCCTTTACCAACGGGTGAAGAGGAGAAAAATGAAATCCTTCTGCTTTGTACCTTTGGCAAGGCACAACGATGAGGTTCATGGACTTGAAGTTCTTTGGATAAGAATCTATTGGGGGCTTGTAAGAATTCCCTGCGGCTAAAGGGCAGCCTGTATGTGAATGATGAGCAGGAGGGAAGGCTGCAAAAGCAAGGGCTTGGATGGTCTCCTAAAGGTCGAACTCCAAGCAATGAGGGAACCCACAAATAATGACAGCAGGGAAGTGACATCAGATTTTCGTCTCAGTTCGCCCTGACAGCAGCATGGAGAATGGATTCAAAGGAGGCCGAGAGTGGAACCAGCAAGATCAGTAAGCAGTCCACTGCACTAGTCTGTGCAAGAGACAGGAATGGGTGAACCAGAGCACTGGCAACAGAAAGGGAGGGAAGGATTTAAGATATTTGGCAGGCTGAAGATACAGCACAATGGAAAATTGATGGAATGAGAACTTTCAAGAAGTCTGAATGGGAGGCGCCTGGGTGGCTCAGTCAGTTTAGCGTCTGCCTTTGGTTCAGGTCATGATCTCAGTGACCCGGGAATCAAGCACCACATCAGGCTCCCTGCTCAGCAAGGGGCCTGCTTCTCCTTCGCCCTCTGCCACCCGCCCTGCCTGTGCTCTCCTGCTCTGTCAAATAAATAAATAAAATCGTTAAAAAAAAAAAAAAAAAAAGAAGAAGAAGAAAAGAAGTCTGAGTGGATGGTTTCCAGAGTATAGTGGAGTAATGAGCCTGGAACTGCAAATGAAGATTTGGAGTGGCTTTTGAGGAAATGAACAAGGGAGTTGACCATGGACATTTGAAGTAAAAATCGATTAAATACTGATCAGTAGGAGCTAGTTCAGTAATTTAGGGTATATCCACAAAGGCCTGCATTTCCTTTTAAAGAATGAATTGGAATTCATTCACATTTGTAAAGATCTCGAAGGCAGAGTGATTTTTTTTTTTTTTAAAAAGCAAGTCATAGAATACTATACGCCCAAAAAGACAAATATACATATATTTCTAAAGGCCTGAGATAAATCAGGTTACCCATGAAGTAGATTCCCAGGCAACATAAAATGAAATGGAAAAAACAATTAAAAATAAAAAAGGAGAAAGAGAAATGGGACATAACTGGGAAAATCAAACTCGCATTTTTTAAAAAAATGTATTCATCTTAAACTTTCATGCTATACACCCAGTTTCTCCAACAAGGCGTGGGTGCTCATGTATTTGATAAGTTGGGAACATTAAAACGAGTGGATGTTTTCCTTACCAAAGGTATATGTGGATACGTGCTCCTTATGAAAACATCAAAGCACTACAAACAATACTGGAAGTACCATTGACCACAGCCCCCAACCCCACCAGTGTCTACTCTCATAAGAAATACCCACCATTTTCAGTTTGGTGAATACCTCTGCAGGTATTAAAAGATGCCTTTTTTTGTTAACTCATAAAAGAATATTTTTATTAAGCTGAAAGCAAGACTGCAAATATATTACGTTTTGCAAAAGGACATTTTGGGATTAGGTAAACACACAGAGTGACTTGGGGTCTTCCGAGCACTGTCTCATCTCTGGCTTGAGAATCCTCTATTTCTTTGAGAGGCCTTTGACCGCCATTCCAACCTTCTCGGCAGGTGACAGTATTTGGGGTGCGTACGTGGGCAGAGCATCAGTGACGGCATTTAGAAGAAGGTGCTCCGATCCATCCGCTTCCGGTCCAGGAGGGGTAATAAGAGACACAGTTGTGGTGCGGGGCTTCACATCTTTTTTCCGGGATGTGGATGCTAGGGTAGTGTTCAGACGTGCTGGGCCTTGTTTCATAGCCAGTTTTCCCCTTCCTCCGGAATCTGGGGGCTACACGTCATGAGCAGAGGGCTTTGGTGGTGGCAAAGCTGAATGAGATTCCGCTTCTAGAAACTGGACGAAAAGCCCTGAAAAAGAATTCTTGGCCATAGGTCGGTGATTTGGCTTCACACGTGTGTTGGGGGCGCTTTTGGATCCAGGCCCCCGACTCATCCAGCTGGTACCACCACCTGGCCCTTCACTGAACAGCTGCCGCATCTGGTCTTCTCGGATCCCCAGCATGCTTCCCATCAACCTTAAG